ATAATATGTCACTTTACGGTAAACTATCGGGAAATTATGCCTACTTCTGAAAAAACATCAATTCCCTTTGTTCAAGTGACATCACACCGTGACAGAGTGTGACGTTTGAAGAGCCAGTCTTCCGACAATAGAGCTGAAGAAAATAGCTTTTTAGATCGTTTTTTAATGACGGAAAAGTGTTCGCAGATGTCAACAGTCTTTGCAAAAAGCGTGATCTGTTCAAACAATTGCTGCGGTTGCATTCGTGCGTGTTCTTTCTTTCTTTCTTTTTTTTCTTCTTCTTGTTTGAATAGCCTGCTAACAACACATCTCCAGATTCTGATGTCAGACAGATTTATCTAAGTTTGTTTCTCGTCTAAAAGAAGTAACTGAGAAGGACACTTCTGTATGAATTGTATGCTCAACATGAAAACAATTAGTGTGTTATTCAGAGAGCTTGTTAGTTGTTAGTATTTGAGCGCTTTAATCGTCTACTTGCACTGTTCACTTCCCAGGAAGCTGAGAATGTTTTTGAGTGTTCCTGGGTCTGTTTAGGGTAAAGTATTATACAGGTGGATTGTAAAGGGCATGGATCTTGCTGCTGAGGGGGTGGGGATGTGTTGACCAAATTATTGTAATTGTTATGATGATGATGATGATGATGATGACAAGGACATGTGGTTACTTGAAGGAGGCATTGCGCTGCCAAGAGCGAAATGCTCGCAGCTAAAGGGATTTGAAAACAACAACAACAACATGATGATGATGATGATGATGATGATGATGATGATGATGATGATGATGATGATGAGAAAAGACCTAGATACCTCTACCTTCCAGCCTAGTTCAGCCCCAAACACCCCCTGCCCCCACTACAACAGACATTTCCGAGCGAACATCGGCCTGATCAGCCATCTCCGCACACACCCCACCCCTCCAGTGATGTGAAGTCAAGGTCATCTTCGCGAGCGAAGGACGAACATCATCATAATTTAGGTACCGTGATTCTACAAGGTTCCGTTGTGCATTCATTTCATCCTCTATGGTCTTTGAAGTCTCCTGTCCTCCAAATTTCAGTGGCCATGTACTATTGAAAATGATTTCATTTGTTTAAACCTTATTCGTCCGCCTTTGGGTTATTTTGTATCCCGGGGTTGTATTCCTCACATTTTTAGAATACTTTTAGTAAGAAGATCTTTGAAATCTTCAGTATTTCTCAAAGAATCATTTTGATTGACTGCTATGCAAAGCGTACGGATCGGATCAACGAGTAAATTTCCTCGTTGGAAAGTGGTGGCACAGGGTTCTCCACATCGTATGGATACGATAGTAAAACACGGCGTACAGATAGGATTAAGTGGTGACACAGGGTTCTCCACATCGTATGGATACGATAGTAAAACACGGCGTACAGATAGGATTAAGGCAGAGACTGCCGTTATAGCGCCCCAAATACAGTTTTACTAAATTAGAATTTGGTCGCTTTTAAGCACAAGGAGGCTATCCCGAAAAATGCTGTTTTGAGAAAATCGAAGATAAAGTTCTAGGACCATTGTTCAGTTTCTTTAAAAGGCAAGGAGAGTTTTCTCTATAACCAAACTTATTTAACATACATGCCAATGAAACCAAACTTCTCCTATAAGTAGGGCAATACCCACTTTTGGTGTAGGTCAAGATTTCTGGAGACCCCCAAAATCTGGGTTAGCCCGCTTGTTCCTTAACGAGACCTTTTGTAGGTTATGCCATAAACAAATATATCCACATAAAGCAGTAAAGCAGAAGTGACTGTGGATTTTTTTTTCTTTAAAAAAAAATCCATGTATTTATTAAACTCATTTTAAACATAAAATGCTGCAGATAAAGATTTTTTTTATTGGATTGGCAAGATACTATTACGATATAACGGAGGAGACATCGCTTGAAAATAATTATTTTCTTTTCCCTACACGAAGCACACCTTTCATTTTTAGTAAGTTCCACAAACTAAAACTTGCTTTCAAAATAACCGTAAAGCTTGTAAAGTAAAACTTATTTCTGCGCCACCTTCTTCCTGCCTGCAGCACTCAATTGAATTCTTTCATCACAATTGTAAAGTATAAACGATCACAAAAATATTAAGCTTTTTGAACTTAAGAAATGGAACCACACGTTCAGTAAAGTTGACAAAAAGAATGAGAAAACAAAAAAGCAAATTGCATGTCCAAGAAAAGGAACAAGATGGTATAAATGCGTTCACGAAGGGTATTGAAACAAATGCTTTTTAATTTTTAATGCATAATAGTATAGCATCTATGACGTGTGGTAAACATTCTCTAATTGCCGGTTGATGCAACTTTTTCAAACATTTGCACCCCCTCAATTCATCAACCGTAGCCGTTGAAACAATGTCTGGTCGTTTGAAAAACTGAAATAACCATCGCACTGCACACATTAAAAGGGAGGCACATGCAATTATGACTTTTGTGACAGCAAAGGCGGGGCGCGCTAACTTTGGATGAACTGTCAGTTAATACAGAAGCAGACAGTTGGTGACGTGTGAGCAACGAAATGACCTTTAAGAATGGCAAAAAAAAATCCGGAATTAGCAGTCTGTAAACTGTTTGTGCTTGCTTTGAAAAGTATACCAGAATAGACTGACAGTAGCGAACTCACGTGGGTTGGAGGCATGCGTGTTTGTGTGTGTGTTTGTGTGTGTGTGTGCGTGTGTGTGTGTTTGTGTGTGTGTTTGTGCGTTTGTGTGTTTGTGTGATTTGTGTGTGTATGTGTGTGTGTGTGTG